AATAGTGGAATTGTAAAGCGCTTTGAGGGGTCCCGAAAAGCTCTATATAAAATGCAATCCATTATTTAAATAATAAAGCCAGCTTTTACTAGCGACAGGTCGATTGTGAACTAATTAAATAACTAATTATGCCAGTAAACATTTAAAACTGTTTTAACTGACCATGGTTTCAGCTGTACTCTTTGATATGCTTTGAAATGTTTTGGTGTCATTGTTTGCTGGAACTAACAGCCACAGTGCATAACTATATGTCTTTTAGAAGATTCATGTAAATACAACACAGTACAGCACAGCCTGTTCGGTACTGTTGTACTTTTTAATCTTGCTTTTATCTCCATAACGTCTGGGTCATTGTACATTGGTTAAGCCAAAGGAAAAAAAAGTTTACTAGAGCACTAACAACTATAAAATTAACAATTTACTAAAAATACACTGCTAGATTACACACAATCGCCTGGGGGGTTTACTACGAAGCAATGTTTTGGCCGAAAGTGCCACATTTTCTCAGATTCTTTTATTTACAGCATGTCTTAAAAGCCGTGTAGATTCTCTGCTGGGGGAATGTGTGCAAGTTGTTAAGCACTAGCTGTACATCAGATTCTGTGATTTACATGCATACATGATGCAAGAAATGTTTTTATACTTGATCTTTAATCTGCTGCTAAGGCTGTTTTACCTTGCTGGAAGCTGTTTACACAGCTTTGTAAACAGAGCAAAGAATACAGAGAACACCAAAAATACCTGTTCAATCGATTAGATCAATTTCATTTTAATCTACTCACAAAGCAAGGTCTCATCTTCGTTTTAGGCTACAGGAAAGTGTCAGAGCTGAGCACACAGAGTAACCCTTAATGTTCGTTTCCATCCATTTCCATCCGTTTCAGAGCTCTAATGTACAGACTTCATGTTAGAAATAAACAGCAGCATTCAGAGCGCGTTCAGCATTAAAATAGTTAACTGACTTTAAAATAAAATAAAAAATGTCATTAAAAGTTTATTTGACTGCTTTGTGCGCTAAATCAAAAACAATTAACTGCAATTAATTTAATGTCTTATCCACAACTTTGTTACTTGTTGCTGTTTATTTATAATGTTCTTTTTCTAATGTTCTTTATAGATTTTTATTACCATTTCATCTTCATCATTACGTGATCATGTCTTTGATTGTGGGCGACACTCATATCCTGGACAAATAAATTACTCTGAGCAGCTTTTTCTGTATTCTGTTCTGCGCCAGTGTTGACCGACCAGTACAGTTGTCTGGCTCTGCAGTGAAAATTGTGCTTGTGTTTGTGTTTTACCACAGATTCATAACAAAGCACCATGATGTCCATCACTGACCCAAACATGAGCGATAGGTTTACAAGTGCAATGGAGGAGATCCACAACAAGGAGCTTAAAACATACACAGACATAATAGACACAACGACAGAGTTGGCCCAATCCCACAGGCAGTTTGTGAAGTCAGCACTTGGTAATTTATTTTTAATGACATATACAAACATCTGTCATGAATGCTACCCTGTTCAGCTTTTTTTTCATTATCATTATCCTTTATTTCAATAGAAAAGAAATTGCACATGGACTTTTTTTAGTTTTGGACTTTTTAGTTTTAGTCTCTTGTCCCCTTTTTTTCCTCACTTTCCTATCTTCACTGCTTCACTATCCAATAAAGGCAAACATGTCAAAGAAAGAGAATATTAATTATGAGTAACATTTAGTCTTACAGGTTTAATAACAACTAGGTCCAAAGTTGTGTTTTTGGAGTGTTTTAAGACAGTCTGAGTATCGTCCAGCACAGTGGATTACAACATTATACATATTTTCTTACTTGATTAGAGTTGTCAGATATGGCTGATAATAAATGTTTTCTGTTGCAGATACGTGTTTAAAGAAGTGTAAGGATGATGACATATTGTTTGAAACAATACAGACATTCAAAAAAGGTGAGTTTCAGTAAATCAGGCACACAGTATTAGCATGTACCTCAAATGTAGGTCATACTGCTGAGTTCAAGTGTACATGTGAAAATGGTGGTTTGTAATGCTGCTTCCGCATCTTCACTTTATCTCTGGACTTAGTTGTACTGACACAACTTGAGTACTGACACAATGTTTGCCTCGTAGACCTCGAATGGAAAAAAGTGGCTTTAAAAGAGAAACGACAGGCAATATCTGAAGTGATATCTGAGATTCAGGAGAAGGATATGCAGAAAGAGGACATTATCCAGAAGATTGAGAAGCTTAAAGAAGAACAAACCAAGAGAAAAGAACGTAAGATTGTGGGATTGTGACACCGATGCTGTAACGTATAAATTAAATATTAAACTGTGACTGTATTGTATAGTACACTTATTTTTTCTGCCTACATTTCAGTGATTGAATCTCAATACAAAGCAAACAAAGACAGACTGAAGAATCTCCAAAAAGCCAGACTCGTCTTTCAGGATCATCTGGGGTTGGAGGTACGAACAATCCTCGGCAAAACACAGCTGGTTAAAGGTATGCAAAAACCATCCATTTTTGATACACATATGTTTGTCGACTCTTGTTTATGTTATCTGTAACAGATTTTTGTGCAAGAGGTTTTGGTCTTGCTGTTCCTTTTAGACTGATCATGACTGATATGGTTATGATACTTTCTAAAATAAAACAACCATAAGGATAAAAGCTCTAGCTATTCAGAAGTGACAAATCAATATTATTATAATTATTTAGATTTTTTTTGTTGGAATGGAATAAATAATCAGTACATGAGTACTAGTTAAAACAGTGGAACCACATTCATCATGTTTCTGAAGCTGTCTGCATGCACATATCCAAACTAGAGTAATTCTGACCTACAAACTCCTGCTTAATTGTCAATTGGTTGAGTTGAATGCACTGAATAGAAAGACTATAATCATAAAGTAATATTTTTTTACCTTCGGTGGATTAAAATGAAGGCTCTGCTCTGCATATTCCTGTTACCATGGTGAACTGATTGATATTTATGCTTGTATGTATCATCATTAACGATAAAGACATGCACAGCTCAGAGTGAATATAATCAGATCGTGAAGAAACTCTGGACATGTGTACTGTTACTGAAAAAGTGTTGTGCAACTTAATGATGGTCAGCTGGTTGTTGCGATTTCACCTTGTGACACACGCCGCTTCTGATACGACTCAAGAACTTTGTTTTGAACTTTTAAAGGTGAAAAGTTGCAGTTTGTTTTCCGAAACATCAACCCCTCTGATCCAGACAGCGCCTATGTCATCACGATGGGGATTAATGAAAGCGGATCATACCAAAGTAAGTTAAATACCTCTACTTTTTTTTTCACAACCCTGTGTAATGTAATAGTATTTCTGTGTATTAATTTCAAACAGATTCACAAATATAGATATGAGATTTTTATTATTATTTAAAAAGCTATAGGAAGACCAAAAAACACACTGATATTTAATGTGTTTGTAAAATTGGTTCAAATAAGACCGGAGAGAAACATTGGAACAACCTGATATTTTGTGGCTCACTCTTTTATTGCATCCACTGTAATCAGTCATTGTTTTTTTTTTTTTCTATTTTACAGTTGTCTCCAGTGACCCCGTGCTCGAGTGTTTGCCAGCCTTGGAAAAGCGACTTCAGGAGACCAATAATTTACCAGCATTCCTGGCAAATGTGAGGAAGGAGTTTATCTCTCAGACGCGTCGCTAAAATTGAACGCAGGAAAGGATGAAAAGCACGCAGTGACATTCTCCCTGCAATTTGGACTAAAGAAAGCACGGTGGATTCAATGGAGT